CTCTCCACTTAAGCCCCCGTCATTAGGTCCTCATTTTTTTTTAACGTTCCTCTGTACAACAGCACCATCTCAATGCCTGTAGTAACGTTCATTCTGTCTGTAGGTGTAAAAATTAGAAGGAATTGCGTTTGTAATATTTACTTGTTCATTTCAAAAACTCCTTTTACCTTTCATGAAATTTACATTTCTCTTCCCTTGGGTTTGTTACTTCAGTAACCACACATAGAACGTAAAACAAACAAGTGCCAAACAGCCAGAGGGTGACAGGCTGTTATTCATTTCAGCTTTGTGTTATACCCCATATTCCCATGAGACATTGAGTGAATTATGCAATTCCTGAAAGTGTTCAAAGAGCTAAAAAATATTGTCAGAACTAACACCGTGAGTTCAGTAGAAACGCAAAGGGATTTTTTCAAAGGTGTACACAATATGCTCAGAGAAGAAAAAGTGCCTAGCTGTTTCTAATGTGCCCAACACAATGACTACTGTCTATTTGGCCTGCCTCTGAAGGACTGGGATCCCACTCCTACAGAGAAGAGATGGTTCAGAAGAAAGCACACAGCTGATGATGCTCAGATAAAAGAGAAGAATGGTACCAGTCATGACACCAGTCAAGGAGTAATACAGAAATATCTTAAATAATAGTTTTATTGTTTTTTGTCAGGTGTTAACATTTTTTCATTATTGTTATCTAGTTTTGTGTACCTCTTTTAGTGTTCTTATCTAAGTACTAATGATATGAAATAATAAACTACTTTTCGGCATATCTTTATTTTATACTTAAAATGGTCGCTAGGGCAGCGAGCCAGTTGTTACATTGTCTGAATCCCACCGCTGGTTGGAGTATGGTCCAGGTAATACCAGACTTAACCAGAAAATTAGTGAGTCAGGTTTTTCGGTTTTAATGCCAGACTTTATCAACTTTGTTATTTGTAACTATGGCACCGCTGTGGGTTTTCCTTTTTGCTTTTATGCCTACATCTTGACTTTTTCCTTCTCTCTAGTTATTTATTCACTTCTTCGTTATTTGACTCACTTCCAAATGAATGTAAAGCCAATTACAAGAACATGCACAATGCAACAAGAAGGTAACACAGGGAAGAATTTGGCATGGATAGAAAAAGATTAAGGCAAGGGGAGGTTGGCAAGCCCAAACACACTCGGTACCACTGTGCTTTCCTGTTCACTTGCGGATCACACTTCTGAGCTTCCTAGCAGTCAATGCAAAAGGTTCAATTCAATCAGTAAGGTGATTTACAGTGTTTAGAGGGTTAAAAAAATAAGGTGCCATACTTATCTGGCCGGGGAGATACCATGATCACGAAGGTGGTTTTCCCAGGGCGAGGTTTATCCATTGTACTCCAGATATGCTGACTCCCGAGATTTCCCCAAATGTGGCAAACTCGGCTGCATAATTTGTGGTAGTGGGGGGCTGCGTTCCCGCTCTCCCCTGTATAAGAAAACAAATAAAATTTTTAAAAAGATGCCCAGGTTAGGTGGCATAGTAACAATATGTTGTTTACAATATCATCTTTATGGTAAAACAAACAGTTTTTAAAATGTATAGCGTAACCACAAAGAAAAATTCTGTAGAAATGAATAATGCAATCAATGTATATAGCTCCCTGATGACTTGGCCTAATATATGGATTTTTCTAGAATGATGGATTTCCCACTTTGTCCATAAAACCCAGCACATCTAAACTCAACAATGCATCTAATTTTAATTTTCAAATGAACTTTAGTCAATCAGAGTTTTAGGAAAAACAAGACTAGAGTTTAGTTGAGAAAGACTAGTAGTGACTAGGCTGGTAGAACATTATAATTTAAAATTTCACTTTGGAGTTTGCTGGTCTCTTAGATGCTGGGCACATGGCTCATTTAGATCTGGAGCAACCTGTCTAATTCACCCTGATCTCATTCAAGCAGTTTTGGATTAGATTTTTCAACCTCTTGGCCTTCATCCCAATGCTGTTTAAGCCCATAATATCTACCACCCCCCGCAATTTAAGCTCTTGTCCTTATTGTCCATCCTGCTCTGTCCTGGAAACCTGCCACAGATGATAACCCGTTCCTGCGATGTTAACATTACAGGAGCAGACAGCCTCATCTTTCCCCAGTAGAGTGGCTGGTGGGTTTGAACCACTGGCCTTGCTGTTAGCAGCTCCATGTGTAGCCCCTGGCACCAGCAGGGTTCCTTAATCACGGTTAGTGTCACCATTGTATGTTTTCTCCATCTCTGGCGAGGTTGTGGGGGTGCTAGCTCAAGGCAGAACTTGGTAGAAAGGAGATGGAAGTTTGTATCCAAGGGACAAAGAGTACTACCCAAAGTAGCTACGTATGATTTGTGGTCAGTTGACATTTGCTAACTTTCATTACTTATTTTATTGGCCTTTCTTTAGGTAGGTTTGTATAGTAAAAAGGTGAGAGTAGATAAAGAAACATCATTCACTCCAGGTATCATGACTGATAGGAGCCCAGGCGGCATAGTGGTTATACAAGGGCTGCTAACTGCAAGGTCAACAGTTCAAAACAACCAGCTTCTCCAAGGGAGAAAGATGAGGCTTTCTACTCTCGTGTGTTAGGCCTGGTTGACTGGAGAAACACATCCAAGGGCACGCCTGTGCAAGAGAGAGCTTTATATCAAAGAGCAATTGTATATGGAAAAAACAGCCCATCCCATCTAGACCACGTCCATAAGTCTGATGTTAGCCCGTATGTCCAATACTAGTTCATACATTCCTCTTCAGACTCACGCAGCATGTGCAACGATGCTGAATGCAGGGAAATCAGAAGCAGGTAGGTGAAAAGTCTTGTGGATCCAATGGTGGTGGAAGCATCTCAGCCTGGCACAGATCTCCACGTGGCTCTGCCAGTTCTCTGTGTGTGGCTCCGTAATAGGACGGCGAAGGAGAGAGAGTATGGTCTGCCTCCCCGAGAAAGAGCAAGTTACTAGGATCCTCATGAGAAGGTCACACCCACAAGGAGGCATCATCAGGCTAGACCCCACCCCTAGACTTATTTATCTAGTTGACATGAAATGATGTTACTATCATATCCCTTAAAGAATTGCAGTCTTGGAACCTCACAGGGGCAGTGTTACTCTGTCCTATAGGGACTCTATGAGTCAGAAGCAACTTGATAGCAATGAATTTGGTTTGGTTCTCATTACTGCTGGAGTCCTCGAGTGGTGCAAGCAGTGAAGGTGTTTGCCTGCTAACCAAAAGATTGGAGGCTCCAAGCCACCCAGAGGTGCCTCGCAATGAAGGAAACTCAGCCATGATTTCCTGTGGAGCCCAGTTCTACTCTGACACTTACGTGGTCACTATGAGTCGGCAGGAACTTGACGACAGCTGGCTTGTGTTGCATGAGTCCTGCCCCAACTCCTGGGTCCACACCATGGATGGTGCGGCACTGCAGACCATAGCATGTATGCATGCTTTGCCCGGTGAATTCCCAAGCCCAGAAAGGAAGTGTTTTACTCAGTCAGAAACCGAGGGCCATAAAAATTGCTATGAAGTAGAAGGTTTGGAAATCCTAACCGGGTTTGGTAGCCTCTAGCTCAGTCTCCACTCTTCAGAAACAGGGAGAGACCTTTTCCTTTTCCCCTCAGCTCTTACTTTAGTGTCCGTGAATGGGATTGTGAAATGGGTAGGGCCCAGAGAATGGAAAAGTGGTGAGTGTGTTTTAGGCACTGAAGTCTCTGATTGGAAAGTGATATAATCTTAAAATAAATATTACAAATTTTTCTTCTCCATGATGCATACATTCTCATTCCATAAAATGGAATCCGATAGGTAGCTCATAAATATCTTTAAAAGGGGACCCCCAGTGCCTACAGAGATAGATAACTCATGCTGAGAGGAGGCTGAACCAGAAATGATTCTGTGTAGCATAGATGGCCAAATCTTCAACAGAAAGGTCTCTATTTTGAAGGCAGGTGGCTTATCAAAGCGGATACTTCCATCATTGGTGCTTTTAACCTCCTCCGTCTGCTGTCCCTTCCCAAGGGTGGTGTCTAGCCCCATGAATGGTCTCAAAAAGAAAAATTTTAAAATTAATCGTCATCATGAGAATGTTGACCACATAGAAGCCAAGCCCGTTGAGATTTTGCTTTGTGCCCAGCTCTGACTCTTAATACAAGAACAGGATTTGAAAGCCTCAAAGATGGCTTTTATGTTCAAGTTGTTCTGAATGTAGTCTCAGAGTCTGAGGCCGGGACTGGTCATTTTGACCGGCTGACACCTAGGTCTTCCTGTCTTGGTGACGTGGGTGGGGTGAGGTTTCTTCATGAACTTCCCGTGTGACCACCTGCACTATCTTTGAAGAATGAGTAGTTGCGTTGTCACGATGGAAACAATTCCCCGGAGTGTTCCTCATCAATGAGGTTTTACATTTTCTTAGAGTTTCTTTGTAAGAAGCCCCCCGATTGTCCCGTGTCCTTCAAGAGAGTCTGTCACGATGACTTCTTCGGAGCCCTCAAAGGCAGTTGCTGTACCCTTCTGAGCTGACCGCTCTGCCTTGAATCTGACGGGCTCAGGGTCCTGTCACAGCCCTTCTGTTTGAAGGACACTAACAAGACTAAGTGACGTGTAATCCATTAATGTGATCCTTTTAGCCATGATTCCAAAGGTGGTGCGTTATAGTTCTGGACTCCATGCCTGTGCCTTTGATTTCATTTTAGAGGGCGTTCTCTGCTAACCGAATGGACAGGATTCAGGTAGGGTTAAGTTCTGACTGTAGTAGAAGGAATGAACCACGTTGCACCCTTTGTTTCCTTGACGGTACCTTATACTGTGCTTCTCAAGAGGCTGTGACTAAAGACACCATCCTTCGTTTTCCTTGGGGGTATGGCCAGCTAAAAGACAAAAAAAATCCACCTCCATCAAAGCCAGTCCTCTGAGTATAAGAGTCATTTGAGCACAGAGAAAAGGCCCAGACCCATTGGAAGAGCATGTTCCAGATCACTGTCTGAAGTGGCAGAGGTCTAGACGAGAGGCAGCAGAGATTGTGGCATGGAGACTATGGGACAGAGCCAGAGGAGCAGCACTGAGCCCATGGCACTGTGAGGCAGAGGGAGAGGCCAAGTGACCATGTGACTGAGAGTTTCAGACTGAGTAAAAGACTTGGTTGTTCGCTGAGCCTTGGAGAGGTATTGCTGTGGACCAACAACTGCATCCTTACTGTTTACTGATCCTGACTTGTGGCAACCTATTTACTTCCCTAACAAATACTCATAATTGTGAGTATTGTATGTGAGTTCTGTGCTGCTATTGCAAGGACTTCCTACATCCAGCAAAGAGGTAGAGTGCTGTGGGAGGAACAGTTGGTGTCAGACAGGGAAAAGAAGGAGGCAGGGTGAGGGCATCTTACCCTTGTCCCATGGTAATAGGGAAGCCAGAGGAGGTCAGAAACGACTGCCCTCCACACCACTTAATGCACTAAGACAAGTGTATCATTTGTCTGCAGCTGTCCACGGACCACAGAGACATGTTTAAAGAAGCTTTGTTGGGAATAAAACCGTGCATGTGTGAACTCTGCTAGGAATACTTTTTTACATTCCTTTGTATGTATGTATAAGTCAATAAGCTTGACTTTTAAAAAGGATAATTTTTTAAAAAGTAAAATTAAACTGAGATTTTCTGTACAATGTATTTATAATTTGTGCTCAAGAATCCCAACCTTTTTATAATGCATAGTTTTAGACAACTTCCCCCCTTTTTCCTCCCTAGATCTTTGGATCTGAAAAATAAGGATGCTGATTGTGGAATGCGGTAATGTTTTTTGGCATGTTTGTCATTGCCTTAGATATTACCAAAATGAAATGCACTAAGAGGTGGACTTTTGAGTTCTGAGAAGCTATAGAAATAAAAGATTAAGTTTGAAGAGGAAAGGCCACATTCCTGAGCACCAGCTTCGGCTTGAACCCAAACCAAACCCACAGCCATCAGCGATTCCTACCCCTAGGACTAGAGGATTTTGAGACTGTACATCTTGAAGGGAGCAGACAGGCTCATCTTTCTTCCTCACAGCTGGTGGTGGGTTTGAACTTCCCAACTTCAGGTTAGCAGCCTGTGGTAGTTGCATAATCTGGTGTCAATTTGGGACTTGAGAGGTTTACGAGTGAAGGGGTGGAGTCTGGACTGTCAATCCAGAGATAGCCAAAGAGACCTCTGTGTGGGCATGGCCTACTCCTGAGAATTCTGAGAACTGTATTTTCCTCCTTGGAGGGAGACACTTCTCTCTCTCTTGCTCTCTGGTGATCAGACCAGTGTGCAGCTGCCTTAGCTAGTTCTCGGCCTCACCCTGTGAGTAACCTTACCTGTGGGACACCCAACCCATGGATTGTGTCACTAGAATTTGAGGTTCCTTCGAGACCTGCTTTGCCACGCTGCTGATGTATGCATCACTTGAACTTGGGACTGCCAGGTCCTGTTGTCTTGCTGACGGTTG